TGTGTGTGTGTGTGTGTGTCTGTGTGTGTGAGATCACACATGTCCTCTGTCGTTCAGCGTCTCGTCTTTTATATTTTCCTGGAGCAGCTTGTCCTGTCCTCTCACATCCTTTGTCAGAATGTATTGTAACACAGCGATTACCCAGAGTGCCGCTGTGAGGTCAACATGAACCCTGTGTTGTTAACAGATGATCCTGTTTCCACGTTTTGTAGATTTGAGACTTGTGTGAGTCAGTTCGTTGATCAGTTCATTACTTGAATCTAGAATCACTCTGCAGCTTGAACAGAACCAATATTTTAACTCTGTCACGTGTTTATTTTGTTTATCAGGTGGATTTTGCCAAAGTGCTGCACTACGTCGGCGCCGGCGTGGTCTTCCCGTGCAGCATGTTGTTTGTGTGTCTGCAGTCGGCTCTGACCTACAGACTGGCCAAGACGCAGGACGAGTACCGAGTGGGACACGTGCGTGTGGGGATGGCGCTGCTCGCTCTGATCGCCCTGGTGCTCAGTATCCTTCCGTCTGTTCATACTGACGACAACTTCTGAACTGAAGCACGCTGTTTTATCTTTCTCTCTTGTTTTTGAGTTTTCAGTTATAAGATGCATGAAAGTTGAAGACGAGAATGAGAGTTTGCAGAGACGTGTGATACGTCTTCGCTTTATTATTTAATATCTGCTTGTAGAAGCACTGAAAGTACTTTACATCAATAAATATTTGTTGATTATTTTATATAAAAAATACATTTAACTGAGCAGTTTCAAGTTTGAAGAATTTTTTCTTTCCACAACTTTTTGTAACCGTGAGTCTCATATTTTTATTCTCGGTCTCGAGAAAGAGGTTGACTCTTTTGAATTGTGATGTGTTACGTGGCCCCCTGCTGGAGAACAGGCAGCTTTACATGCCTGTGTGCGAGCAGCTGAAACATGTGACGGTTTGTCTTCATGTCTAACTGTGTGAAGGTGGGCGTGGTCGTGAGGTGGAAACATGCACAACGAAGAGCGAACATCAAAACCAACAAGTTTCACTGTTCAAACTTATTCATCCTGAAAAATAGATTCTAGCTCTAAGAACTCACCAGTTAAGATCTCACCTCCTGCAGGTGTGTGGATCGAATCTCTCCTCCCACTTCCTGCAGCCGTCGTTCTCCTTAACCCTCCCCCCCACCAGGTGGAGTGTTCTTCTGCCAGGAGAGCTTCGCCCTGCAGCACGCCTCCGCCATCTTTGAGTGGCTCTACTGCATGCTCATCATGTTGTTCTACGGGACGTTCGCCTTCGAGTTCGGGGGCATGTCGGGCGACACCCTGATGGTCCTGTCCCGAGGGGCTGGAGCCCAGAGCTTCTCCGCCTCGGAGCACAAGGCCGAGGTGGGCGGGGGGGCCAACCACCATCAGCCGGAGAGTTTATCCATCCTATAACTGGACTGTGGGGTGTGTCGGCGCCCCCTGGAGGACTCCTGCACCACCACACTCACCGTTGCACAAAGCCACACCTCCAAAGTTACGCTGCAAAACGTTGCACAGTAAAATAAGTGCCTCTGAACTCAAAGGCCAAAGAGACAGTTCTGTGTTGGTTTTAATTCTCGTGACGTAACAACCTGAGCTCCCGGCTGAAGTTCATCAGCCTGAACGTCCTGAAAGTGCCTCCGTCGCCGCTCACGTTCAGTCGCTCACACTTCGAGCTCATTACTGTTCCCTCTCAGGAAGTTTTGTTACATCATCAGCTTTCAGTCTTTACCTCAGCGGTCAGGTGAAGTTTTCCAGAAACCTTCGACAATAGATGGACGAGAATAATGATTTTGTGTTTTGTCGTCACCTTTAAAAGATGTTCGACGTTTTCTTTATTTTTAAAGTACTTGAGTAGTTGACTCACAATAAGCTCTGTTGTATATTTTGTTTTACTTCATTTTCAGCTTTAATGGGACCAAACTATAGACGAGGACGTCGAGATGCAATATTTGATTATATTTTGATTTATTTTATAAAGCTTAGCATTGTATATCCAACAAAAAAGAAATGAAAGCAAATGGGGAAAAAAAATTGAATGTGATTATTTTGTGTTTTATTATTTTATTGTACATTAAACTCTCTGTTGTTAAAGTGTTTTATTATTGAACAATCAATTTAGTTTCTATAATTCAAGAATTACTGATGATTCCTGAGAAATTGTGTAAATTCAGTTTTCTCTGGATCTTTGACTTTGTTCGATACGTCTTTGCATCATGTCTCGTATTTTAACTTTAAGTTTTTGTGGCGTCTGCAGGTCTTGATGAAATTTAAGTTTTGTCATCAAATATATGAAACGTTAATCGTCATTTGATTTCAGGCCGGAAAACAAAAGACGGAGACTGAAACAAAAGCTTCACAGTCTTTATTGTTTGTTCAAAATCTCTGAAGGCTTCGTCCTCACCCGGTGTCACGTCTAACCCTGCGGACACTCAGGCACAGTATCACAGTATCAGTCATACAAAAATACAAAAGTGTGTATTAATGATTGTGGTTAAGGCATCGTCGTGGTTCTGAACGTCTCTGCTGAAGTATCAATGGCTGTTCTCCTACAAAATTTGGTCATTCCCTTAACTTCGGACTGAAAAGCCAAATAGCCGCGAACAGCACGTGACCGAGCACGTGCATGTACGGGACGAAAATACCAAACAGCTCACTTGTAGTTCTTGTAGCCATTGAAGGGCGACAATCCTCGTACTCTCGTCCAATGACCAGAGGTTATCTGCACCCCCACCCTGACCCGTCCCGTCCCCTCCCTGGTCCGCTGGCAGCTGCCTTCCTCCTACTGGGTTACAGGAGCACGAGGGTCGCTATCTATAACACACAAACACACGCATACCCCAACACACACACTCATACACTGGTACACAGACACACTAGAAGTTGAGGTTCTTTGGGGTTTCCCAGGGAAAGTCCTTCCTGCCAAAGTGTCCGTAACAGGCCGTCTTCTGGTAGATGGGTCTCTTCAGGTCCAGGTCCCTGAAGACCAAACATCAGTTAGAAACACGTTCAGATGAATAGAACCTTCAAAGTTTGGCTCAACAACGTCAACTTTAATGACCTGACGATGACACCGGGTCTGAGATCAAAGTTTTTATTGACGATGTGCAGCAGCTCCGTCTCGCTCTTCTGTGAGGAGCCGAACGTGAACACGGAGATGGACAGAGGGTGAGCGACTCCGATCGCATACGCAACCTGCAAACACACACAGAGGATCACCGACGACGCCCCGGAGGAATCTGTGTTTCTGTCCGACCTCCAGAGAAACGGATGATCCCCAACAAATGTTGAAGAACCTTCTCACCTGCACCAGGACCCTCCTGCACAGTTTGGCCTTCACCAGAGACTTTGCCACCCAGCGGGCAGCGTACGCAGCCGAGCGGTCCACTTTGGTGTAGTCCTTCCCAGAGAAGGCCCCCCCGCCGTGGGCCCCCCAGCCTCCGTATGTGTCGACGATGATCTTCCTGCCCGTCACTCCAGCATCACCCTGCAGCAGCAGATTACACAGCTTTAGAAATCCTCCTTTATTTAAAGTCAGAAAGTAGAAACTCCTGAATCGTCACTGGTTTAAAATTGCAGATTTATATTAAGTCTTTGCCGTCGACTTTCGCCTTTTAGCACAATTTTACCACCTTCAAAGCTGCATGGAGAAGAGAAACACTTTGACTCGAGGCTTACGTCATAAAACTCTGGGATAAATGTTAAAAAACATTTGAAAGCACAACAATTAGCTGTTACAACCCGAAGCCCTTTACCTGCGGTCCACCGATCACAAAGCGTCCGCTGGGCTGCAGGTGATAGACGGTGTTCTCGTCCAGGTACCTTGCAGGGACGACCGCCTTGATGACTTTCTCCTTCAGAACGTTCTTCTGCTCCTCCAGACTCACGTAGTCGTCGTGCTGCACTGAGATCACCACGGTGTGGACCCTCTTGGGGATCACGGCACCGTTTTCCTGGGTATAATGAACTGTCACCTTGACGGGGATGGAGGGAAGTATTCAGCCTATTTACTGGAGATACTTGTACTTATAGGAGATACTTCACTGTATTTCTGTTGATTAAAACTTTAATCCATAAATCGTAACTCAAGAAATGCTGTTAATGTCCCCACATGTAGCGACAACCCTCTTTTCACGTCTGAGCTTTTAATCGTAGGTTTGCTCGAGCCTCGTGTGTCGTGAACTCAATACAGAATGATGTGTCTAGTGCACATGCTGATGGTGTAATTGGGAAGGCGTCTCGCGGCTCAGATGATGCATACCAGCTCGCTCCGGTCAGTGTCTGCTGGTAAGCACATTCTGGACTCTACGATCTCTGTCCCACATACTAGAGAGTAAAGTATTCACTGTAAACACAGAGAGAACCAGCTGCTGGACTTCCTCCCTTCAAACCACGAGACCCAAGATTCGTTCTGGTCCTTTTTTGCCTTTTGTGATTTCCAAACATGTGACCAATATGAATAATTGTTTTTTTAAGTGACCTCTGTGGCCATTTGAATTCCGTGTTTTTTGATCCCACCTGCGTCTTGGAGTCCGGCTGCAGCCAGGGAACTTCCCCGGTTCGTCTCAGGTCGGCCATCTTGGCGTTGAGCTTGTGTGCGAGGATGATGGTGAGAGGCATGCACTCCTCTGTCTCGTCTGTGGCGTATCCAAACATCAGACCCTGTCCACACAGAGAGAGTCGCATTCAAACTAACGTGTTGTCATCGAGGTCTTTGTCCTGTTTGTTCCACTCAATGCATCAACTCAGAGTTTACATGACTTCTGGTTTTGTTATCTGGCTCCGTCTGAAGTTCAGCTGGAAGCAATGTGAGTTTGTGACCATAGATTCTGCAGAACACAAATATAAAATGATTTGTTGTTGTGTTGTATCTAAACCTGGTCTCCAGCTCCGATGTCGCTCTCAAGACGATCGATATGAACTCCCTGTGCGATATCAGGGGACTGCTGCTCGAGGGCCACCAGCACATTACAGGTCTTATAATCAAAGCCTGAAGAGAGAGGAGCAAAGGACCAGGACTGAAATCAAACTGTCTGTCAACCGGTATCAGTCCAAAGGTTTGTGCTTTTTATACTTCACCTTTCGCTGAGTTGTCATAACCGATATGTTGGATGGTGTCTCTCACCACTCTCTGGTAGTCCACGTTGGCGCGGGACGTGATCTCGCCACAAAGCAGCACCATGCCTGTCTTGCACACCGTCTCTGTTTGAACACAGGACGTTACATTGCTTATGGGACTGTCCTGACGAACGTCAAATGAAAATAAGGGGCCATGGTACGAATCAACGTTAACTTTAATAAGAAGCGAATAACAGAAGTGAACCTTTTCCTAAACCCTAAAAACAATATTACCACAGATTTACTGAGGAACCTCAGTTATGTTACTCACCACAGGCCACTTTGGCGTCGGGGTCCTGCTTCAGGTGAGCGTCCAGCACAGCGTCACTGATCTGATCGCAGATCTTATCTGAAAAGGATTTTCATTAATGTCAGCGTCGTTGAGTTTATTTGTATCGCACAGAATCATAATATTATTATTATCATCTCAAGCTCTTGACATAGAAGGCTGCGTCCTCCTGTGACCTTCTACTGTACAGGTCGGTTCCTCATCTGCACACGGCCTGAAAATATCACATTTCAGTGATACTACACATCCGTCCTATTAGGAGCTGCAGGCCTATGAATAGCTTTGGCCCGGTGCCCCGTCCCGGAGCGGTGCCAGTGTGCCACGGTGCACGGTGAACTCCATCGCATCATCAAAGCGTCGCCCGAGCTGTCATCAACCAGTCTCACTTCTCGAGCTCTCATTTAAAAGTTTAAATACTTCTTCAGCTCGGTTCAGGTCACGTCAGGTTTTTAGGACTCGATTATAGACGTGTGAGCTCCCAATAAGTGAAACAAAAATGTTATCGCCTCCTGGTGGCTGGCTGCAGTAAGGTCGTTCTTATCACGCGTTTGGTTTTTAATTAGTTAGTTGATGCTTTAACATCATGATCGAATGAGGAGATGTGGAGGTCGTTCATTGAGAATCATCATCGGAACCTGCAGCACGTTGTTCATGTGTTCAGATCGAATCTAAAGAGCCGTAAAAAGCTGCTCAGCTCCAAACAACAGACTGAGTCAGACGGCAGCTGGTGGACGTAGTGAAGCTTTTAGCAACGTAAGAGTTTCCCTCAGGAGGAGGAGACCAAACCAGAGATATGAGTGAGAGAATGCTGGACATGAAACACGCCTGAGAACTTCTCTGCTGGATCCACAAATAAACAACGGGTGCTTTTGTATTTTATCTCTGCTCAAAACATTCAGTTGACGTTTAGGGAATAAAGCCGATTTATTTGTGACAGAGTGAAACGGAGTAACTTTGTGGTTGCTTGGTTTAAATTCTCTAAACTAAAGACTAAACACTGTTGCACCCAAATAATACAAATGGCTCTAAACCACTGGTGTGTGACCAGCACCACTCTGGATTCTGCACATTCCTCAAAGTCATCGATGATCACTGGAACATGAACGTGTTTGAGCGCACAATGACCACGTCTCCTGCATCATCTGCAGGGGAGAGGACGTCCAACTCACCAGGATGTCCCTCTCCCACCGACTCGGAGGTAAACATGAAGGACCCCTCCTGATGGTCGTAGTTGCAGTTTCCATTGATTATGCCGTTCATTCTCGTGTCCCTCTCGGAGCTGCCTGACGTGGGGTGAGCTGGGCGGACGTGGCAGGAGTGAAGCTGCTTCAGCACACGAGGCGCTTCTTATCCAAACAGGACAAAGACAGACAGATTGGTGCACTAGACTTTGGCTGCGTTCTAATCTCACAGTCCCAAGGCAGAGCAGGCGGATCACGCTGGACTATATAAGGCTAGGACAACATACACACACACTCGGGGGGGAGGGAGCCATGTGAACCCGGGGGTTTAGACCATTCAGAGCAGAGAAAAGAGGAGGGAGGGATCCCTCTCTCCATGTTGGGGGCCGTTGTTTAACTCCTCCTGTGCTGGATGAACTTCTCAAACTCAAGATCCTCTGGTGGCCAAAGTCATTTTTCTTAGTTAATCGGACAGAGCATCGGTTTCACCGTGAAGTTCCTCCATAGATTCATTCCTGCCTGAGGGGCCCAGAGGTCTGTGCTGCGTCTGTCCACCAGGTCCGGTGGTAAACAGCTCAAACAGCAAATGGACGTAATCATGTATTTGTTCATTTATTTTCTTAGCATTGTAATTCAGTGTTTTACAGAGAACGTGTGACACCAGACAGGAGATAGAATGAGGAGTAGAGGGTCACATGTCACTTTATCAACAAATCAAACTGTAAATCTCTAGATGCATTTTGCAGAAGCACTGGAAAATAGAAACCTGTGAAATATAAAGTGAAATAAATCCGTCACATCCTCGGTGAGTTTGGTTTAGTGATGATCACGATCTCTAAAGAAAACTTATCGGATCATTTAATATCGACACGAGAGTGAAATCACACTGACATGAATCAGACTAAACTGTTCAGAGTAAACAAGTCAATACAAAACGTGAAAGAACGGCGAGTTGGTTTGTTTTGGAATTTAAGGGACGTCTTCTTGTGTCGGCAGATTCACGACGTTAGTGTTCGTCTCTGATCTGCAGCTTCTCATCAAGCTCTGGATTTCATTCTGGACCTGGAGGACAATGACGACACATTAACCCCAATCATTTTAACTCAACACATGAGAGAGTGAACTTGTTCTGTGTTGAAACTTGTCTCACCTCTCCGTTGAGAAAACAGTAAAACACGGCAACAATGAAACCCTGTGACCACATGAAAAACATGAAGTAAATCAGTTTGATTATCAGTTGATTGATCGATCGGTGGACAGTTATTAATCCTTGATAATCAGCTGGTTAATTCATAAAGAGAATAATTGTATGTGCAGCTCTAATGTTTTCATCGGTTATTCAGTCTGTGAAATCGGCCCGAGCTCTGAAAGGTGTGAAGGTGTTTCACCAATCAGCAGGTAATGATTATTCTTAATCATTGATTTAATCAGATTTGAATGTTTTATTGATCAGTTGGTCTTTAGAGTAAATCAATCAATTCTAAATTAGTGACCTTTGAATAACAGACTTTGAGTGATGTGTGCTGTGATGGATCCGTCACCTGGAAGGAGCCTAACACTAACTCCAGGTAGAGTCGAGGTCCGACGCTGACGTGTTCGGGGAACAGGGCGAACACCACGTAGTGAACTCCGAACAGAGGGATGAGGAGCAGAGTGGAGTGAAGGAGTCTCCTGCTCGGGGGGGAGGGGCAGATGACAGGAGGCTCAGAGACGCAGATGAGACGAGTCCGTCTGCTGGACAATAATAATCTTGTGTTACCTGCAGAGTTGTGTTTCACTTTGGTTCACGTTCGGGGCCTTCGTCTTCTGAACGATGATTCTGCTGATGTTCAGGAAGATGAGGAAGTTGATCTGCAGTGGGTCACACGTCACAGAGGCCATGTTTGTTTTGGAGAATCAACCTCCAAGGATAAGAGGAGGAGTCAGGGGCTGTAAAGTTTGTGAACTGAATATAAACTGAGGTTTCTTACAAAGATGGAGAGCAGGATGGGAATCTTTATTATCCACCACAAGCTGCTCTCCAGGTCGTCCCAACACCTGCAAACACCAAAGCCTGCGTCACCTTTTAATAGAAGAAACCGTCAATGTTTGAATTTCCATTTTTGCTCACCCTTCGTTGTGGAGCTGTTTTTTCAGCAGCGCCCAGATTAAAATCGTAGCTGTCGGAGAACCTGTGAAATCAGACCCTCGGTGAGAGGAGCGGAATAAAGACGAGCACGGGGGTGAACGAACACGACGGGAACTGGCAGCGTACCCCAGCCGATGACGGCGTAGATCCTGAAGAGCTTCCTGGTCTGAGTGAAGGTGAAGATCAGCAGCGTCTGCAGGTACAGACCCTCCACCAGCAGCCAGGAGAAGTTGGACGACACACAGAAGTGGAAGAAGGTCACGGCCGCTTTGCACCAGAGCTGAAATCACGCAAAGGAGAAATTCACAGTTTATTCTGGTTCACGGTGGAGAACGTTCTAGAAGTTAACCAAGTTCTCGAAAATATGGCTATGGAGCACAAACACAGGCAAAACCATATCCTGTTTCCTGTTTCCTGTCAACTGGTGAACAGACACATTCTTGTCCTCTGTTCTAAAATCCCTGTCAGGTGATGAAGATCTTGTCTCACTGTGGACACGGTGCAGTGGTCCGTGCTCTTGTCGGAGAACAACACAGCATCTTTGACGAACACAGCGAGACTCCGGAGCATGAAGGTCACAAACAGGTTGAGGTGGATGCAGTTGCGAGTGCAGAGCAGCTTCCTGCGAGACAGAGGACAACACTGAGGGGGAGGGGGGGGGAACACTGAACCAGCACAGAAACATCATCTTCATCATCATCTTCATCATCGTCAGGACCAACCTGAAGAAGCAGAAGAGCAGCAGAGCGACGAGGAGCGCAGCCAGAGACGCTCCGTAACCAACGCTGTAGATCCACCTCAGGGTGTCGAAGTAATTTTTCTGGAGCGAAACATGAAATATTTGATCACTCAGACAAAATGTTCTGCTTCCTGACTTCAGATGAAGAGAATGATCGTCTTCTCTACCTCTCTGATCATCTCTTCATCCTGCTCATCAGACTCGGAGACGCAGGCTTCGTAATATGGAGGCTTTGGTTCGCTCCACCCTCGGACTGTGCACGTCCTGCTGATGAGAACTGACAACAAGACAAACTGAATAATCTTCACCAAACCTCAGTTACACATTTCTTTGTCATGAGAGTTCTGATAACGACATTCAGCCAAAACATCATTTATAATATAACTACATCTTAAAATCTAAATCGTCAGTGGACGTGATGATGTGATGATAATTTACCTGGAGGAGTTTCAGGCTTCAGCAGCAGCTGAGGACATTGGACGGAGACATTGTCCCCCTCAGACGCAGTCGGCCAACAACTCAGTCCGTCCCACTCCGTCACACAACCTGCGACACAAGTTTAACAGCTGAGAAACACACAAACACACAATATTACACATCGTGTTCTTCAGACTAACGGTCACCTGCAGTTTCATTCCTGCTGGGAAGGTTCTGGATTTTGACTCTACACTCGTTTTCCTTCTTCAGCAGGTGAAGAACGATGGAACAATCTGGATGAGTCGAACTGACCTGACAGAAAAATACACAAATCCTCATTCACTCATCAATCAATCAATCAATCAGTCAATCAATCAATCAGTCAATCAATCAATCAATCAATCAATCAATCAATCACTCAATCAATCAATAAGTCAGTCAATCAATCAATCAATCAATCAATCACCACTTCAGTATTATTTCACTCTGTTATTACAGATCCTCTGTGATTTTCTCTCTCGACTGTGAAAACTACACATGTGGAGACAAACCCATAAATAAAAAGGCTCATTTTGGTTTTGTGCCACATTTTATATCAATCATTTCTTTTTAAAACTCAGAAACTCACCGTGTGTCGTGTGACGATCAGGATACAAACAGCAGCAGTTAGAAAGAAGTCCATTGTTTCAAACATTCATTGCAAACTGAGCTGATTTCAGCCGAGTTTTCTGTCCGAGATTTTAATCCAGTTTCCAGCCAAACATCCGAGCACCTCAGGATCCGTGAGCAGCTCGATGTGCAGCGTTCTCTGACCTGGTTTCTCTTCTGGAAGCTCGAGGTCACCTGAGCAGCTTCGTACCAACTTTACATGAAAACCTCTCGGTCTCTGCTGACACACGCTCCTCGAGACCAGAACATCTGGATGAAACGTGTTCGTGTGATTTTATTGTGCAGGTCTTGTTTGTACGTTCACATATATTTATATATTTATATAACTGACTCGTCCCTCAGCAGGAGAGCACATGTAATATTCAAAGAGGGAAACAACCCATGCTGTGAAAATCAAGTGAGGAGAATAGATGACGTAAAGCTGCAGCTCAGCAGGAGACACGTCCTGTTAGAAACCTCTTTTTTATTATCCTGGGTTTGACTTTGCTACAGATCAAATCTTTGTCCTGTTAAAACTTCTACAATAAAGTTTGAATTATTCCAAAGTGCATTTTGATTCATTAGTCGTGAGACTGATTTTTCTGGCTTCAGACATTAAAGACAGTTTATTCCTTTTCCTCCCAGTCTGTCAGTCTGTCTGTTGTAAAGTTAGATTGTTTGTCGAAAGTCGTTTTGTGCAGCTCATCATTCTTTATCTGTGTCTGCAACTTAGAAGTGACACCGACTGTGAGAGAATGTCTCCCCCTAGTGTTTGATTCCCCAAGTTCAGCCAGTGTTGTTTTGTTCACAGTCATTTTCTCCTGTGTCTGTGTCTGTGTCTGTGTCTGTGTCTGTGTCTGTGTCTTTCTTCTAAAAGTTTTAATGAAAGTTCATCATTAGTTCATCTTTGATTCTGTGTTGGTCTGAATCAAATGTAATAACGACATCAAACTGCTGTTTGGAGCGACACTGTGTTCATGGTCGTTCTCAAGTCATCACTTTTACTCGTCGTTCTTGTCTTTGAGGTTAAAACTTCCCGTGTGAGAGGCGACAGTAACAGATCAGTGTGTTCGAGTCTTGGCACATCGCACAGTGGCCTGAACACTGCGCCCCTTGTGTCGCTGCCCCTCCACCGGCCTCCATCACAAACTCGGCGCCAACTTTGACACTAAGTCGAGAAACTGTTCAGCTCCGGAAAACAGCAGTGGAATTATTGACGGTCAGATTTGTTGAAGGGGACGCTGAAGCTCTGATGTGTTGGCAGGACGAGACTCTTAGTGCCCCCCCCCCCCTCTCTGTCTTTGTCTCTTTCTTTTCTCCTACTCCTTCTCTTTCTGTCTCTCTTCTGGGAACATTCCCAGTTCAACAGCTGCCACGAGCTGCTGCCGCCGGAGAGATGATTTAAATCTATCCTGTAGTGATCTGGTTCCTTATTAAAGCAACACCAAGTAACTGCTACTGAGCAACAGCGCCCCCTGCAGCCACACGTGCTGATTCATTCTGACGTGGTTTTCATGGAGAGAAACAACTGTAACAAACCCACCAACCTCGTTTCTTCACATTTTAAAAGTTTCCTGCTGGATATTGGAGAAAAACTCTGGTTTTAACTTCTCAGTGTTTTTCAGCTTCACTCTTCAAGTGTCTGGATCTGACAGGTGAAGCTGTGATATATTGAATGATTGTAATTACAGATGTTGTCAGGCAGATGTTTTCACCTTTACATGGAACCAGACCGAGCTGTTTTCTCTTATTTCTCCACTTGAGGCTCCAGGAAATGACTGACAGCTTTTTTGAAGGTATTTTTTAATATTCAGCAGATGAGAAGTTAAAGTGTTCGTCAGTTTTCAGTCTCTGCTGCAGAACCTTGATTCTGGAGCTGTTTTCTGAATCCAGGGAGAGAAACTGAGAAACTGAGATCTTGTCTCAGACGTTCTCCGTGGTACCAACGAGTCTGTTGTTTGCAGCTCAGTGATTTACGGCCACACACTTTAACTGGAGGTTTCTCCCCCTCTGTGATTCTGTGATGATTCTGTGGTCAAACGATGCCACAGTTTCTCCTGATGGATTCTCACGTCCTCGACCTCGACGGTGAGGTTGAGTCATGAACACTGAGACGATGAGACTCTGCTAGAATCCGCGGAGTCGAGTGTTTGGACTCTGAAAGTGACAGATTCAGTTTTGACACTTTCTCACGTCACATCTGTCCACACTGAGTTTTTTTAAAAGTTATGTAACGTGGATTCAAATCAGTCACACAAGCTGCGAAGATTCCACTGGATTACTGTCGAATGACTCACTACTCACAAGTACTTCTCTCTGTATCTAATATTACTGAATGAAAATAGGACTTTACTAGTATAGGTCATATTATTTTCTGTATTTTGAATCCTAATGTAAATAAATGGAAAGAGAAGAACTGAAGTTTTAGTTTTTCTTCTTTCTAATGTTGCTTTTAAATGTTTACTGTGAGCTCATTAATTATATATTATATTTATAACTTCACATAGTGACACAACAACCATTAGGTCTGTATTTGGAATTCACTTGTTTTTAAAATCAATTAGTGATAATTGAAACGTGAATGAACGTGATTATCTAACACGTGTTTATATAATGAGTGTGTGCGGTGGTTCGTGTAAAACAATAGAAACTCTGTCTCCTCCATGTTTCTCTCTGGTTTCTGGACACAGCGCGTCGTCATCTCTCCGCCCCGCAGCGCCTCGCTCCGGTCAGCCGCCGCCACTGCGTCCAGACGCTGAGCGCGCCCGGTGAACCGACCGCCGCCGAAGAGACAACACCGCCGTCTGCGCTCAGGTGAGAAACCCGCACATTTCATCCTCATCCGCCGAAAACACGGCGACCCGGGGACCGGAGCGCGAGCAGGACACCGGGGGGAGAAGCGGCGCGTCGTGAAATCCTCCGTGATCCCTTCGCTCGGTGCGTTTTGTGCGTGAGGTGGGAGAGGTTGGGCCTGCGCGCGTTACATGTATGGAGATATCAATGTGTCGGCGCGCACAGCCGCAACCTGCAGCCGCTTCTTCAAAAACACGTCTCCATCGTCTCCATCCTCGGCTGCAACCAGCAGACGCGTTTTCATCCATCATGGCTCCAGCCCTGCAGCGCGCACACTCACACACGCGCGCACGGTGCATGTTTTCTCCTCAATTCTCCTGCAAAAAAAAAAAAAAAGGCAGAATGGATGAAACATGTCTCCATCCTCCTGCTCCGGCGCAGCTGCCGCTCCGCCTGTTACGCACAGAGACTAATCCAGCGGAATATGTGTAATCTGATTATTAGAGGACCTGAGGAGGAACCTCTGCTCCTCTTTGTGTCGTCGGGTTCGTGTGTGGTGGTGAATCGGTGGTGTTGAGGTGTTCGGCTCTGCTCGGTGCTTCTCCTCCCTCCAGTGTTTCTGGATCGTTCGCTCCCTTCGTGCACGTGAGGGCCTACACGGGCTTCAAGCCTCTAACGCAAATCTTTTATTCTCCAACGTGAAATCCTGAATCTGAACCGGGAAAACACGCTCTCGTGTTGTGCCTCGTTCATTTCGCGTCTCTCTCGTGAGTTCTCGTGAATCTGACATTGTTGTTGGATGTGGAGAATCGGAATGATGCGACGCCTGTGCGCAAATGCCAAGCCCATTTTTCATGCGAGCCTCAGAGGAGCGCGTCCGCAGCGCAGCGTCTCCGCCGCCCGAGCTTATCTGACACATATGGTTCTGCTCGGTAATCCTCCCGAGGTCAGCGGACACTGATCCACTGGAGGTGCGTAAAAGACTCTGGCCACGAACCCTCTGACAAAAGCAAATGAAGCCATTAGGGCTTAGTGCGCTGTTCACACGAGACAGTGATGGAGGAGGAGACCTGCCTCTCTCTGGATCCACTGGATTCAGGGTCGCTGCTCGTTCTCTGCGCCTCAGCTCAGACACCTCCTTCTCATTCCTGTGGGTCTCATGTGCGCCCTCCATCCATCCATTCATCCATCCATCCATCCATCCCTCCCTGCTACAAGGCCTCAGTGTGTGTGTGTGTGTGTGTGTGTGTGTGTGTGTGTGTGTGTGTGTGTGTGTGTGTGTGTGTGTGTTAGAAGCCGTTCCACCAGAGGATCCACAGAAACAAATGAATGTCAGTTTTCATTGACGCTCTGCAAGTTTGTGAAATGTTCCGAGGCCTCACACGGACCCCTCCCTCAGAGTCTCAGCCTCAATCACCGGGGTACTCTGTCGTCTGCCTGTGTGTGTGTGTGTGTGTGTGTGTAATGAAGTATAATATACCTCTGTTTGAAGTTTTCCTTCCTGTTGGTGTCACAGTGTAAATGAATCTTCCGCCCGTTGAAAGAAAATGAAGCCAGAATATCTGGTGAACTAACGACGCCATCTTGTGCCTTTGACGTCATTGATTGTGGGTGGGGTCTCGGCATGAAAACAAGAAGCGTTGTGTAATTCGTCGTTTGTATTGTTTGATGTTTACATGAAGAAACAGACGACGGACCAGAGACTCGGGACTTTCTGTCAAAAGACGCCGTTCACGCGTTTTTTCTCGATTGCGTCATCTCGTTAAGGAGAAGAAGAAATGCCTTTACACTGCATTCAACTCCCAGTTAATTGGCACCAAGCTGACGGAGGACGCTGGCTCATTAAACCAGTGGTCTGTGTGTGTGTGTGTGTGTGTGTGTGTGTGTGTGTGTGTGTGTGTGATTATTTGACATCATGAAAAAACAAGAAGAATTCCTCGCAGCTGCAGGATTTCAGATTCTAGACTCTGCGACGATGCAACTTGTCGTTTCTTCTCTTCTACAAACACGAGCTGAGAGTGAAGCAGTGATGAGGAGACAGATGTTTAGATGCTTCAGCGTCTTTGAGTCTGAGGAGGAGGAGGATGTGTGGAAGGGTGACGGGGGTGTGATGGACGTCCTGACGGACACTGTTCAACCCACTTGGCACAACGACTCCTGAACATGTGTGCACGGAGGCCACGTGCGGGCCGGCGCCGCAGCAGGTAGACGAAGGGCAAAATGGAAACTGGCTCCACCTTCAGCTCCTCCATGTCAGGAAGGTAGAGTCGGTCTGTGGCTGCCAGAGGCCGAGAAGAGAGAGAGAGAGAGAGAGAGAGAGAGAGAGGGAGAGAGAGAGAGGGAGCGATGGGGGAAAGTAGGTCAGAGATACAGAGGCAGTCGAGCATGAGCAGCATCCTCGTCTCTCAGCTGAGCCACGAGCAGCCAGGGCACGGCATCGCACCAACACCAACACCGACACCGACACCGACACCGACACCCAGGCTCTTTGGGTTCTACAGATTTCAGCTCCGAAACAACCACAAATCAATTTACATCAAATCAATCGAGGGTTTCGAGTCTTCGATCGAGCGACAATGTTAAAATGAATCAGCTCGCTTCTTCTACGACGTGAGGAGCCGCTGCTCTTCTTTGGTCCGGAGCTTCTAACCGAAGCATCTGTTTTATAGATGAAGCCTTTAACACGCACACCCCCCCCGGGATGTGGAGCAGAGTCGATTCACATGCAGCAAACGATTCAATATCAAATTCATTTGTCAGTTAATTGATCGTTTTGTCTGTTGAATGTTTGAAGATAGAAACAGTTTGTTCTTGACGATTCAGGCTGAAATGTTTTAAATTAAAAAAATTGTTTCAAGACAAAACGCTAAAAGAAATCCTCGGTACCTGGATTCTGAAACATATATGAACCTTTTAAAATCCATTCAAACACAAAACATTTGGTTTTGAGCTGCAAACGTTATTCCACGTTCGTCTCGTTTGCTGTGATTGTTTGATCTGTTGATTATTTCTTTGATGAATCTTTGTCTTTGATTTTCCCGGATGATAAATAATCGATTGATTATCTTGTTCCCTGTTTGGAGAAACTCATCTCACATGAATCCACGTCTTCTGAGCAAACCTCTGTTTGTAAATCAAACTAAAGTTAATTCATTCACGTCCACACACACACACACTCAGTGTGCGGCTGCGTGTGTTGCTCCTGGAGCTGTGTCAACATCCCTGTTGACCGAGCTGCAGGCCGGAGCCAAGACCACATTTTCACACGGCCCCGAGAGGAACGAGCTGCACCAGCAGACCTCTCCGTCTTTTCTCCCTCATGACGCTGCGACAAAAGAACGCTGTCACGTTCCCTTTCTGCAGCAGGTGAGATTTGTGGTCGGGATCTTCCTCCCCTCGACACAAAGAGAGAAGACGAGTGGATCTCTGAGAGGCTTCAGATCCGAGAAGAGAACCAAGCACTGAACTAACTCCTGTCACACAACCGAGACACAGACTCATCTACAGTCGTCTCAGTCTGGAGTTTGTTTGCTCTCTAACTGTCGGAGCTGTGCAGTGAACGGCCTCTCACTGATATTGTCTTCTTTGGCAAAGGCTGCAGCTTTCGTCTTGTTTGGACTCTGTCATGTGTGATGCTACAATGGGACGTTTGTCCGGGGGCTGTGTGCGAGCACGGAGAGTTTGCTATTCATCAGAATTTCTATGGGACGCACAAAGGTCATCTAGCACTTATGAGATATGTTTAAAGAAAAACAGCTCGGTTCCTTTTAAAAGAATGAAACAGGTTCGATTCTTTATTTGTCACCGTCAACAAATCCCACGAAAAGACTAAAACCCAACATGAATCGGTTTCAGACCCAGAAGTCGCTGCTCACATCTCACTTCTTCTTCTGCGAACAGATCAGTTGTTGTTCCGTTTCAACTGACGGAGATAAAGACAAAAAAAACACCCGACCGATGTAGAGTTTCTATGCAGGGTTAAGAGTCCGAATGGGGACGACGTGTTCCTGCGTCAGAGCCAGAACAAAGAGGAAAGGTGCGGAAAAAACGACAAGCGTGGAAGAAAGCAGCGAAACGTTTCCGGTGGTTGTAAGTGGATTTTTAATGAAATAGCAACTTTTTGATTTGATAACAAACGCTACGTTACCTGCTGCTAACAACTGCTGCTCGTTGGCGGGATGAGGAAGTCACTAACACGGACTCAAAAAACCCAATAACCTCCTAACGCTGGAGTTTTCAGTTTGCATTTGTTTGGGATTAATGTCAGTGTCAGATTCATCCACGTCTGGCTGGTGTGTGTGTGTGTGTGTGTGTGTGT